GAGGTCGAGTCGTTGAATCCTTGCAGGTCAGACCCCACGTATAGTGACAAGTGGGTATCATCGAGGTGTAGTGTTTATAACAGGTGGTTGTACATGACGTTGCCGAAACTCCCCTCTTCGACCAGAATATGGTGCACGTTGAAGTTGGCCATCATTGCCTTCACCAGTAGAGGAATGCTTGATTTCAGGGCTCCGCCGGGTAGCTCCTCCAGGTAGAAAGTGATTGGCTCAGATTTTCCTTTGAACCTCTCGAGTGTAGCTTCATGGGTTAGGGCTGCGTCCACCATCTGCTGTGCATGGACAAGGGTTCATCCTCGTAGCTGTCGAGGACGTGGAATTCTTTCGGCCTCGTCATGAAGAAGGCCACCTGGAGGGGGCCCGATGCAACCTACGGGCGGGTTTCTTCCTTGATTTATTTTAACTTACGGGTGTCATGGCGAGGGGAGTCGTTGCGTCTGTACTGCCCGAGTCTCCCACTCTTGATGAGAGTCTCGATGGCATCCTTGAGGTTGACGTAGTCTTCCGTCAAGTGCCCGTGGCTATGATGGTACTGAATGTATTTTGTCCTGTCTGCCCCGGGCTTTGCAGGAGCTGATCAAGGACGTCTGATGCCTTTGTCCTTGAACTCGGTATTAGAGCACTCCACAAGGATATGCTCATGGGAAGCTGTTAGTAGGGTGTACTTTGTAAACCTCCCTGCTAGTCCTCTATGCTCATGGGGATCGCACAGTTTCTCCTCCCTTCTCTTCTCTCTAGTCTGTCGAGAATGGCCCATGTCCTGGTGCCACGGGAAGTTAGTTGCTCTATGGTTCCTCGAATCGCGGGCTTTATTGGCCGCTTATTTCTCCTTATAGTCCATGTATTCCCTAGCCTTTTCGAAGAGAGCGTTGAAAGACTGGGAGGGCTCAATGTCGACAACCTTTCTAAATTCAATGCCCGAAAGAAGTCCTCTCTCGAGCAGGTACCTTTTCATGTGATCGGGGCACGAGACCTTAATGGCCTCGCGAATGAATCAATCAATGTATTCCTTGAAGGTCTTATTGCTTCTCTAGACGATTGCCTCAAAAGAGGCCTCAGTCTTCGGATGTTGACGAGACGTGATTAAGGAACTGATGAACTAGTTCTTGAGGCTCCTTTAGGAAGTGATCAATTCAGGGGAGAGGTTCTTGTACCAATCTATAGTTGTTTTTCTTAGGGTCCCGGGGAACAACCAATATTTAATTGGACTTCCGAAATTGTGGTAATTGAGCTTTTATTCAAACACATTGATATGGTCGACAGGATCTGCAATATCGTTGTATTCCTTTAGTATGGGAGGCTTCTCCATTCCCCTAGGAATGGGATCCTCCATGATTTCTTGGGACAATGGACCACGGGGGTCATCTTCGTCACTCCTGTCTAGAGATCGGGAGGGGCCCCGGTTGTAATGCTGGTTGTTGTGATGGCCTTGGCCATGGGGAGGATCCCTTGGCCGATCCCTGCGCGAGGGTGGAGGGGGAGAGGGGGGTGACCGCGCCTCCTTGTGGCTTCGGGCTAGTTCCTCTCCAACATAGGGTCTCGCCCAATTCATCGAGGAGAAGGGATACGCGAGCCATCCCGTCTGTGTCTCTGTGGGGGAGACTGTGGAAGGTCTTTGTTATGACAGGGATGCGGAGTGCCAGGTCTCCTGTGTCTTCTGGTGGCCCGACGAGTCTATTCGAGCATCCTCACCCGCTCACCCTGTGAGAAAATCATGTAGTTTGTCTGGTTGATGGCCGCGAACAGAGCTCTAATTGTAGCATCTGCGCCTGCAGGGACGGGGACCTCCTGAAATACATTTGATTCATAGTTATGGGGAGGATGATAGTCGTCTCTGTATGGTCGGGAGCAGGGTGATAAAGAGGCGGTCAATCCGTCTCTATAGTTCATCTTGGGACTGGCCATGTCAATGTCCTTGCCAGCATTATTGCCATTGATGTTGTTACCAATGTTGTTGGAGTCGGCGAGATAGCGTTTTAGTTATTGTCGACAGCTTGGTCGGTCGTGACAATCACACAATTTGATGAAGAGTTGCTTTGATCTTGAGATGGAGACAGGGAAGCTGGTTTCCAATAGATGGCGCCACTGATCGTACCTGACCAGAAGGGATTATCAACGTCTTCAAGCTTTGAGTCGAGCAACAGTTGAAAGTGAAGTAAGGGGGGGTACCTGCAAGACACTCTGATGCCAAATTCATCGAGGGGGCGGGGGGGGGGGGGGGGGGGGGACCGCGCCTCGTTGTGGCTTTGGGTTGGTTCCTCTCCAACGCAGGGTCTCTCCCGATTCGTCGAGGAGAAGGGATGTGCGAGCCTTCCCGTCTGCGTCTTTGTGGGGGAGACTATGGAAGGTCTTCGTTATGACAGCGAGGAGGAGTGTCAGGTCTCCTGTGTCTTCTGGTGGCTCGACGAGTCTGTTCGAGCATCCTCAACCGCTCACCCTGTGAGAAAATCATGTAGTTTGTCTGGTTGATGGCCGTGAATAAAGCTCTGGTTATGGCGTCTGCGCCTGTAGGGACGGGGACCTCCTGAAATATATTTGATCCATAGTTATGGGGAGGATGATAGTCGTCTCCGTGTGGTCGGGAGTAGGTTGATGAAGAGGCGGGCAGTCTGTCTCTATAGTTATGCTTGGGACTGGCCATGTCAATGTCGTTATCGGCGTTGTTGCCAATGTTGTTGGGGTCGGTGAGATGGGCGTTTTGGTTATTTTCGACAGCTTGGTCGGTCATGACAATCACACAATTTGATGAAGAGTTGCTTTGATCTTGAGATGGAGACGGGGAAGCTGGTTACTCACAGATGGCGCCACTGATCATACCTGACCAGAAGGGATTGTCAAATCCTTCAAGCTTTGAGTCGAGCAGCAGTTGAAACTGAAGTAAGGGGGGGGGGGGGGTACCTGCAAGACACTCTGATGCCAAAGTGAGGTTCAGAGCAAGTGCAAGCAAGTTTGAAAATATGAATAAGAGATTAAATATTTAACCCTCTCAATTGAGAGGGTATTTATAGCTCTGAGCATTAGGTCAAGGTCCCCATTGTTGGACTGAGCAAGTAGGCCTGAAATGGAGACTACCAGGTCCTACATGCATAGTGGTGTCCAGCACGTGATTCTCAACTTAGAAGAACTTCTCTGAATTATCAGGAGGATATGGATGCGGTCTTTTCGGGATCAAGAAGACTCTGACATTCAGAGATGTTGGAAGTCAGTCCTACGAGAGGATGCTCGAGAAGTCCTTCTGACCGTCGTCGGTCCTCCTCGCCTGTTGCGAGGTTGTCCCCGGAAGACTAGTCTTGATCGACGAGAAGAGTGGAGGATGTTCGAGAGGACCTTCTGATCGTCATTGGTCTTCCTCACCATTCACAGATTTATCCTCGTAGGATAAAGCTTGTTGCCTGACATGATTGAGGGTAGGCTATTTCTTGTTGGTCTTTCTATACATCATGGTTAGATTAAGCCTTGAATGATGTTTGAGTCAAGTGCAGGCCCAATCCAAAATAACATGTTTATGTGTGGTTACAATTTTATGTATATTATTTAATTATATATGAAACATGTGGATTTATGGTCATTAAGTGCAATAAATGGGATATGTATAGAAAAGAAGAAAAACCTACAATAAGCCACGTGAGAGAATGTAGCATTGGTGATGGAGTGTGGTCAAGCATTTTAGGTGATTTTTATGAGTAAAATTATCACTAAAAGTTTGGTTTCTAATTTGTTTTTAATTTTAATTTCTTTTTTTTCTTCTTTGGGCTAATCTATTTATGTGAAATTGAGCCTGTTTACTAGTTGCTTAACAACACCCCCATTTTAACTTATCACATCTAAGTTTATTTAGTTTTTTTCAAATTAACTCAGTTAATTTTTAGTCATTTAATTATTATTCAAAAATGCAAAAAAAATATATTCTTATTTCTTTAATTCTTAAATAATTTATACAATCTAACATAATCAAATACTTTTTTTTCTTCAATAAAATTAATTCTAACATTTTTATAAATAATAAGATAGGTGAATTTTACGTCCACCACATCCTCGAATAATCAATTGGTTGGCTTTAAAGCCTTGCTAATTAATTATCCAAATCAAAATCTCTAAAATTCAGAAACAAACCAAAATCAATTTCTTCGCCCCGCTTGATTTAATTATGTTAAAAATTAATTCTTTATCAACTAAAATTAATTTCTTCGTCCAACGCGGTCTAATTCTAAAGAAGATCAACTCTTCTTCAACCAATCAAAACATAATTAAAACAACTAACCAATCAAATCTTTTTTCTACTAACATAATCAAAATCAAGACTTTTTTCAAAAAAGGATTGTTTCGTTTCTTTCTACTTGGATACAAAAACTTCGCCTACCATCATTATATTTTCAAACTCGCACAAGTTCAAAACCATTTGAAAGCAACTTAACACAATCCTATAAAAATCACCAACCAAACATACTTCCAACTACGAACGACTCAAAATTTTCTTAAGAAGATACGTAGGCACACGGTTGAAAAACTAACGCGAGTCCATTAACTAAAAAAATATATTTTTCCCTTTTTTGTTTCCTTTCCTAATATATATGATAATATGATGATAAATAAAGAAATACTTCCATAAGTCCTAGAGCTAAAAAGGATCCCCTTGAGTACAAGTGAGTTAAAGGGTGCCAAACACCTTTTATTTATCTATTTAACTCGCGAATCCAGTAATCTCTAAATAATTAGAGTTTTTCCTTTCCTTTTCCGTCCTTAGGACAAATAAGTAGTGGTGACGACTCTCATATTTTTTCCCGGTTATGATAGCGTGTGATGCACCCCAAATTTTTCCCCCTTATCATTTCAATTCTTATGGCTTATGCTTCATTATCATTCATCCATTTGCACCGCATTGATTCATGGGTGTGGGATCAAGGATTTTGATAGTTGAATGAACAATCACTTAAAGAAGAATATTTGACCTACATGGGTTAGAAGCTTGAAGTCTCACCATCATGGGCATCATCTCAATACACAAGGCATCTTTGTTCAAGAGGTTCTCAAAGTTTGACCAAAGAATTTTTTTGATCAAAATTGAGGTCAATGTTCCAAATATGAGAAAATATGGTCCTTGGTTGAAGGAAGTCAAATCAAAAGGTCAAATTTTGGATAACTTGTAAAAGAAGTTATCTTTGGGACTTAGAATATTTTTCTAAGTATAGATACGTGTTTATATTACCACCTTTGCAGCCTTGCATCTCACTAAATTGTGGTAAAAAATTTGCAAACTCATGATCCAATGAAAGAGGAGACTTTGTACTACAAAATTTTCCTTGAGGGTTTACCTCCAAAAAGTCTATGGATTGTAAGATATTTTAGATAGAAGTTGGATGACATTCAAATTTGAACTTTAACACTTAGAGAAATTATGAAATTTATCAATCAGGTCCATCCTCATGTTTTCAAGCTAAAATTCTTTAAGATTCAAGTATGATTTGATTTTGTAATAACCACCAAGGTTGTAAAGCAAGTTTCCATCTTTCTAATGCTCTAAAAATCACATCTTATAAACCATTATATCTCAATATATGATTAGTGAAAGACATGCATCCAAAATTGTTGAAATGACATTAACTTCGTGAAATTTTGAATGGTTCAAGTCAGTTTAAAGGAGTCCTTTTTGTGGCTTTTTTTAAGGCACTTCAAGGCTTCAAATCAATTTTATTCCAACACAAGAGTTGTTCATCTTCCTTCTCTCTTTCCATTGAACTCAATTGCATTCCATTTGGACAAGAATTCATGGAGTTATAAAGAGTTAAACATGGTTGATTATTTGCACTTGGCTTGAATGAGATTATGTTGAATTGTTAGCATCTCATGGATTGCTTACAGCATGGTTTGCTACACTCAAAACCACACGCATTACACTCATTTTCCTTGCCTAAAAAAGCCAAACAACGTGCATACCTCATGCATGCACCATTTCACAAAGTTTTCTAAAATGAGAAAGATTCCCCCCACTCAAACTTGTTGCACACTCCATCCACACGTGCTATTCCTTTCCACACTTATTCCACCTTCATTTTCTCAACAAAATGCATACAAAAGCTGAACAAAACAAGGAAAAACACATCTTGCTTCAAACTTCTCTCAATTTTCAGATTTTTCCATAAATGCCCTCCAACAAGATTTTAACCATAGTCAGCTCATGCTAACCTCGCCGCACTCTCTTTATAAACTCCCTCTCCCTCTCATTACCGACACACGCATTTGCAATCAAGAAGAATCAGATCTGTAACTTTTCTCTATTCTCTCAAATTTACTTCTTCGAAGCTCTTTCTATTTGGTATTTTCTTTGAATCTCATGCTTCATACGCATCCATTAAAGATCACAACACAAGATTGTTGAGTTTTCTGAAGCATTCTAAGCATAAAGAGGGCAGTGAACTCTTACTCCACTTGGTAAGCTTTCTTGAAGCTCTCCTTCTCGCATGCTTAGATCTAAGTTGTATAAAATTCTATGAACATACTCATGCATTGCATGTGGAAGTCCTCCAAGAGAGGCATTTGTTAATTGTTTGAGCTTGTGCTGTTTAGATCTTGTGATTTCAGTTTCATGATCTTACTTTAGTGCTCTATTTCTTTATGATTGAGTGGTTATTTTTAAGAAACTTTTGGTACAACGATGATCTACTCTTGTAGTACTTCATGATAGCATTTTATTTTGTTTTATTTGGTTGAGTTTTGATGGAGAAAAGTGAGATCCAAAATGGCTAAAATCCATTGCGCAAGGGTTTTTCTAGTTTGTTGTTATTTAACCGGCCATGATTTACTTGTTTTTGTTTTATCATTTTATTTTATTATTAAAATAATTGAAAATTAAAAATGGATGTTGCGTGGTGATTTATTGATGACTATTTTTATTTTTAGCCACTTAAGTGAATGTGCCCAATTGATTGTATGTCATACATAGCTTTTGTCACATTTTATCTATTTTTGTTTTTTCTAATTAATTAGAATTAAAACAAAAATAAGAGAATGAAGGGAATGGGTTTTTATGCATATTGGGCTTAATGTTGACCTATTCACACTCCGTTATTCTTGGCCCAAGTGCATGTTAAATTGGTCTTAGTTTTTTTTTATTTATAATTGTTGCTACAACTCCACTTTTTTTTGTTAGTCTTTATTTCTTTTTCCATTCCAATTTTATTTTAATTATTCTCTTATCCAAAAAAATTCACAAAAATATGTTCTTAATTCGTTTAGGTCTTAGTTAATTTTTGATTAATTTTATTTTTAATTTTCATTCATTTTACTATTTTATTTTGATTTTATGATGATATATGTTTGTTTTACCTAATTTTCTAATTAGGGTTGTGATTGATGATCTTTCTAAATGTCTTTTGATCCAAACTTTATCACACAATGATAGGGAAAATAGCAAGTGAAATATTTTGCCTTGAATTAATAAGAGAGAATTTCCCCCAAATATCGATCTCGAGGACTGCATATATTATCGAGTTTAATGCGTGATTCAATTGAATAAAATATTAACGTTTTTTGGTTTTAGATTTAACCTTAACAATAGTGAAAATAACATAATGTAAATTATGACCTTTTTTACTAGTATGAATATTATGCTAGGGGTAAGTGTGTGGTTTGCCCTATAATGATCCTGATTGTTGATATTGTCAACCAGTTCATAATCTGCAACTATCAGATCTTTAGGTTATTTTTCTTTACGTCCTCAGTCGGAAAACCTTTGGTCAACCATCCTGATATCTAAGTCCTTAGAAAATTATGATACTACCAAGCCTTCAATATTATCATGATTGCACCTGTAACTATATGGTATCACTAGTCCTAAGTGATATCTAATATAGTTTAATCGTATCAAAAAACCTTTACAATGGCGGTTCAGCCCTAGTTGTTAATCATAGATCAAATACAAATTGTTCCGATCAGGAAAGCATTAAAAACATTGAACAATTAAATTGAAAGGAAACTACTTGATTAAAAATCAATAATTCATAGTCATTACATAGTAAAACAGGGACACCCCCTAGCATTGGGGGTTTAGCCACATATAATATTCAAATAAATTATAATAAGAAGGTTAGACATTAGAAGATAATTGGATTTCGTCGATCTTCAATCGCGATTTCTCTTAAAAAATCTTTGTGCACTGAATCCCTTGAAAACACCAATTTTTATCGTAGAATTCTTCTAATCTCCAAGAAGTGCCTCGTTTGGTTGTCAAAACTGCCTCAAATTGTCAAAATCAAATATTTCTGGTCTGAAACGTCCAAAACACCCTTCTGGGTCTCACTTAGATTCAAATAAGAAAGTCAGAAAAACTCAGCGTTTAGACCAACACGGCCCGTGTCAGGTGACACGACCAACCGTATTGGTCATCTGTCCAGTCCCCACGAGTCTTTAAGTCCCAGCATGGTTGACACAACTCGTGTCATGTGTCACGGGTGGTCGTGTTAGAACTCTGGCTTTTATCTCTTCATGTGCTCCTCTGCCTGACACGGGTTGTGTCAGGCTTGCTGTAACTTGCTGAAAATTCTTCGGGACCTCCGATTCCTCGACTTTTCTCGTACCGAGTAACTGAGATCCTTCCCCTGAACCTGAAATAGCCGCAACAACCAAATTAAGCATAAAATGAGAAATAACTTGAAATAAACTTAAGAAAACATAAAATGCAGAGAAACTCAAGAAATATGAAATCATTCAAAGAGAAGAAAAATACGACACAAAATGATGCAGAATACATGGATTATCATCAGACAAGTAACAAAAACATGATGAAAATGGTGACCGATATCAACCCTAAACTTAGCTTGTTTCTTGTCCTCAAGCAATGTTAAGGACAAATTGAATCAGACACCCCAAGTTATCAACTTACCATAATACCACCGAGATCTTTCGAACATGCTATTACTTTCCTTCCAAAGTTATCCGCTTTCCCGAATTGAGTGTTTCGTCGCACCTTAACATCTAGACACTACTTCACATGTCAACCTATTTTTCACTCTCACCGAGTCTATCGGGGTTAGTGTTTTCACTCATAGTTCAAAATATACAATATCAACTCAAGAGTTTGAATACATTCTAAATTAATCTCACATACACATAACACACACTTTTTAAGGTATTCGGGTTATAATGGGGCTTAGGTATGGTAGAATAAACAACAGAAAATGGAAAATAATGGGTTTTGGGCTCAAAGTCAGTGTTGTCCTTCTCTTGTCTGTGCTTCTTTCTTGCATGGTTTAACCAATGAAATTTTCGAACATCTCCTTTACAAGTTTTTTTTGGGTTCTTCAGTTTCACTCAAGTATTTCTTTTAAGCGTTTCTTTGCAATTTAACTAAGTTTCTTCTTTTTGATAAGTGTTTTCAATAAATTTTTTTGTTCAAGACTTCTCTTTTTTTTCGTACTTACCTATTTTCTCTATGTGTTACTACCCTAAACTTGGAGCTTAGCACAAATTCAAGAAAACAACATTGAGATGAGCAAGATATGGTGTGTTTGACTGTGGCTTATCATAAGCGGTGATAAACAAAAATCAGATACAGGCCCAATGGGGTTAACAATGGATAAACATTACAATGGGATGGCTAGGAAGGCTTAGGGGTACAATAGAAACAACGCGCCTCAGTGTGTCATAATGCAATTATAATCAACTAGAACACACACAAACTCAAAGTGATAGAGACATACCTGACTAGCTCTCATGATGAATCAATATGTGTTTGACAGATTCCATAATACCTTTCATTTTAGTGTAACTTTCCAGTTAGCTCGGGATGCATAGGTTACCTTTGTCAGTCAGCTCTTGATAGTTACGTCTGATCACTCACTCAGAAGTATCAACTTCCGGGGTTTGCAACAAGCACAGTAAATGATGTGATCTTCTCATCCATTGTCACAAACTTTTATCACATGTTTGGAAAACTATACAATGATTCTTCACTACTGAAGCTACCGGCAAAAAACACAGATCCGCCACCGAACTATATTTATCCCGAAGGAAGGGTAAATATCAAGAAAACCACAAGAGGAAGGATAAGATGGTCTTGCGACCAAGAGAAAGGGTAAGGGAGTCGGTTATACAAGGGTAAGGTATTAGCACCCCTCACATCAGTTTTACTCAACGAGATCCATTTTTTTCATTTTCTTCTAAGGGTGTGTTTATCTATAATTATACTTGCTAAGGGGAAAGAAATGGTTTTTTATTAGTGTGTTCGTGAGGGTCTCGAAACCCTTTTCCTACGTATCCAGTGAAGGAATCAGAACATCATAGTCCCTCTAAAAAAGTTGTTTTGTTGGTGATTTTTAGTGGGCAACGTTAACGCACACATTCTAGCAATAGGCACGGCCTGTATCGCGGTAGAACGGAGATAACATGCCTTTTGGGGGATGTTTCAATTGGTTGAGTGTTTTGCGAGTTTTAGAATGAATTCGAGTAATGATTAAATGTTTTTGGATTTTTTATTTGTGAATGATAAGTTTTAATTACAAAAGAAGAAAAGTTTAAGAGGGAAACTAGTAAAACCCTAATGTTGTCATGCATGGGTTCTAACCTAGGGTTTAATTAGTTCGCATCCTAAAGAAGAGGAAACTATCATCCTAAGGGAGCATGCTTATAAACATAAAGTAAAAGGAGACGATGTTTGTGAAGAGTGATCATGGCAAAAGTGACGATTAACCAAGGGGTGTACTTGATTAATCTTGTGAGAGTAGGTGCTCCTACCCTCAAATATGAGACCCTTTGTATATGGAAATACTTGGTATATGGAACAAAGTGGTTGATTCAGGTTATGGTTAACCAATGGCAAGACTTGATTAACCTTGTGAGAATGGCCATGCCAAAAATCAACTGTGAGACCCTTTAACAAGATGCTTGGTATGTAAGCCAAGGGGAGAGAAGTTGCTTCAATGGATGAGATGAAAATCAAAAGCCCATACAAGGTAGATATATGCATGCTCCTAGAAAGTGAGACTAGCATGACACTATTATTCTAAACTACCACTTGAAACAATCGATCGAATAGTTGTCGCTGTAGAAAAGCCCAGGACCAAACTATGAAATGTGTGCAAGGGTGCATTTTTAAGTGGATACCTGCTCATTGATGATGAGCCCAAGAGGAAGCCATGTGCTCTAATTGGATGGCATATGCATAATTAAACAACAATTAAAACATACAAAAAATATAAAAAAATAAACCATAAGCTATTACAATCATATAGGGATGGGGGTACAAGCTTATGAATGGGGATGAAAGCGATTAAAACCTAATTACTATTACAACCATATTGAATGAATAAATAATATACAAGAATGTAAATATAAATAATAAAAATGAAAAATTGTTTTTTTTATAATTTATGTATTGACACATGCACTTATGCACTGATACGAAAACTCTTATGTGTTGACGCACACACTTATGTATCAATACATATCATTCCTTGCTCCTGGAAGTCAAAAACAACACAGTATGAGTCGACATATAAGGGTTTATATCGACTCATTTCTGTTTTGTATCGACACATGCGTGTTTTGTGTCGATTCATACTCATTTCCTGCCCCTAGAAGTCAAAACCAACACAGTATGAGTCGAAACATAAGGGTTTGTATCGACTCATTTCTGTTTTGTATCGACACATGCGCGTTTTGTGTCGAATCACAACCTGTTTTGTGCCTGATATGAATCGACTTATAGAGATATGTGTCGACTCATACTATTGTTTTTATATTTCTAACATTGTTCTGCTACATGTAAAAGTCAGTTCTCAACATATGATTGATAAAAATAAAAAGCAAGCATATGGTTAGCTTCTAGGGTATGATATCTACATTTTATCTTCACAAATAAACCATTAATGATTCTTGTATAAAGAGCTCAAGGTTAAGAACACTTACCTTGAAATTGAAATTTGTGTTTTGAGTTTGAACACCTTTCAAGAGGCAGTGATAATAAGAATGACTTCAGTGAACCTCCAGGAAGTTGCTCCAATCCTTAGTTTGTATTGAAAGTTGTTGAATCACTCCAACCCAGTCAAGTTGTACAATAATGTTTTTTTTGTTTGTGTTTGGAAGGTGGCGAGAATGTTATCACAAAAACTTTTTTCTGAACAACTTATATGATAATTGTTTAGATATTTTGTTTAGGGGTAAACTTGCAAGGTCGTACAGTGGGTTGTAGGTTTTTTCTGTTTCTGTTTTTCTTTTGGTTGCTGCTGGTTTTTTGTTGTTGCTGTTGTTTTATATATCAAAGCAGTTTTATGGCTCAAAATAGTTTTATGGTTGTTGCTGTTTTTTCTCTTCTGGATTTAAAGTGTTTTTCTCTCTTTCTTTTCACAAAAAAACCTCTCCCTTTATCTGCTGTTTTTTCTCTCATTCTTTTCACCCAAAACTCTCCTTTTTTTTTTTTTCTACTGTTTTTTACATCAGATGAGAGGTGGAAATTAGGGGGAAAGGTTGGTGAGATTTTAAACAATTTTGACATGTTGTTTCACTACTCTTTTCATTACAGATTTGTTGATTTCTATTTTATGTAATGTTTGGCATTTGTTTGCAGCAGTTTAGACAGCTTTAGCAGGCTATGTTTGTAGGTTTTTGGACTGTTATGCATGGACTGTTTTTATGTAGAACCAACAGGTTTTGGACTTATATGCCTGGACTCTTTTTGTGTAGGTATTGGATTGGAGTGGGAAAGTTTATGGACTGGTATGCAGCAGAATGGACAAAACCAGTTTGGACATTTTTGTGGGGCTGGTGGGTGAAAACTTTGGGCATGTTATATTTGGACAATTTGGACTTGTAATGAGAAATTCTTGAATTGTAATACATAAACATTTAGCCAAAATTTTCTCATCCCAAAATAAATGAAGTTTGAATTCTTTTCTCCATTATTTCCTCTAGCCTTTGTATGATTTCAAATGGTCATGGTATGAATCCAAAAAATTGCAAGATAATCAATAGAGACTTGAATCTTGAATATAGTAACTTGTGATGTAAGGAATTGGTGACTTGTGAACCAAAACACATTGTATGAAATACCAATTTCCATTATTTCCAATTTGCAATCCAAATCCAAGTTTTCTTACTCTTCCAATTTCGAATCTCCATGACGAATTTAAACCACTTTGAAAATGATAGATGCCACCTTAGTTCAAAATTAAGTCCCTAAAGAAACTCCTCAAATAAAATTTTAATCCATATGAGAAGAATTCTTTGGTTTCACCCCTTAAACCTCTTGATAAGCAATTGGATTGTAGAAGGAGATAAAGCTCAATGTGACCTTGAAGCAAAAATCCTAGTTTCCTGAAAACACAGTGAAACTTTAATATTGCACAACCACTAAACTCTTGGACCTCATGTGTATTTATTCAATGAAATGCATGATATGCAAAGGAACTAGTAAAGGTGATGTAGATGAAATGCGAAGTCTAAGCCAGAAAAAGTAAAAGGTATGATAGATTTGGGGTATGACAACTGCCCCTATTTAATCGTCTTAAACCTGAAGGTGAGATTGGCGTCAGCCTTTCGACCATTCGAGGTAGAAGATGATTAAATACTAAGACATGAAATTTTTCTTAGAGAGATGGTGTTGGTGTTATTATTTGTGACGTCTATTAGGGGATGAAAAACACGAGGTTTTTGGTGAACTGGTCATGATGGGTAAATGTGGTTTGAATAAAGATAGCTTGTGTTGGGGTAATGGTGCCAATACAAGGTTCTCGTTGAGGTGGGCGTTAAAGTGACTGAAAAGATATGGTTGATGATGTCGTGGTGACTGGAGGTATGATTAATGACAACATGATAACTTAAAGACAATCGGTAAACTCGACCACAACAGAGAATCCATCGTGTGGGATTCACGACCCAAAAATAAAGGTAAAGACAACAGGTACAGATCGACGTAGGATCTATGAACCAAGGGAAAGGTAAAGACAACAGGTAATGATCGGCGTATGATCTATGACCCAAGAAAATATAACATGAGGGTATGACCTGCGAGCGACCTACGACCCTAGAAACGATAACGCGAGGGTAAGACCTATGAGTGACCTATGGCCTTATAAAAGATAACGTGAGGGTAAGACCTATGAGCGACCTACGATCCTAAAAAATAAAACGTGAGGGTAAGACCTACGAGTGACCTACGAACCTAGAAAAGATAACTTTAGGGTAAGACCTACGAGTGACCTACGACCACAGAAAAGATAACGTGAGGGTAAGAACTACGAGCGACCTACGACCCTATAAAAGATAGTGTGAGGGTAAGCCCTATGAGCGACCTACGACCCTAGAAAAGATAACGTGAGGGTAAGACCTACGAGCGACCTACGACCCTAGAAAAGATAATGTGAGGGTAACACCTACATGCAACCTATGACCCTAGAAAAGGTAACACGAGGGTAAGATCTACGAGCGACCTACGACCATATAAAAGATAACATGAGGGTAAGACCTACGAGCGACCTACGACCATATAAAAGATAACACGAGGGTAAGACCTACGAGTGACCTACGACCCTAGAAAAGATAACATAAGGGTAAGACCTACGAGCGACCTACGACCCTAGAAAAGATAACGTGAGGGTAAGACCTACGAGCGACCTACGATCCTAGAAAAGATAACGTGAGGGTAAGACCTACGAGCGACCTACAACCCTAGAAAAGATAATGTGAGGGTAAGACCTACGAACGACCTACGACCCTATAAAAGATAACGTGAGGGTAAGACCTACGACCCTAGAAAGATAACATATGGGTAAGACCTACAAGCGACTGAAGACCCTAAAAAATATAACGTGAGGGTAAAACCTACGAGCGACCTACGACTCTATAAATGATAACATGAGGGTAAGACCTATGAGCGACCTACGAACCTATAAAAGATAACGTCAGGGTAACACCTACGAGCGACATATGACCCTAAAAAAGATAACATGAGGGTGAGACCTACGAGCGACCTACGACCCTAGAAAAGATAACGAAGGGTATTGAGAGTTGGGGAGTGCAATGACAGATGTTAACTGGGATTATGAGGATGATATTCTCTGTAGGGATGTTTTACTGTTTCGATGATTGATTTGGGGCTTTCGTGAAAGGTGCCAAATCTGGCTCATGCTTCATATGCATTTTAAAGTGTGGCATGATGATCCATGGTTAAGCTATACGTTTGAGGTTGCAATGTAATATGCAGTGACGATTATTGCATGCAAAGTTCAAAATATTTGGCATATTGGGATCCATTTCCCGTTGTCTTGAGATGCTAATTCAGATTAGTGCTTGAAAACTTCAAGAGTTAAGTTATAGCCTTGTTGAGCTCACTAGGGATTAAATCTTGCTGAGAAGGAGTAGCTTGATTTGAATTTCTCCACATGTTGGACTTCTTGTGGATGACTGAGTAGGGACATGAATCTCATCAAATTCCCCAAGTTTCTCGGTGTTGAAGAATCGAGTGCTCAACCGCCTGTAAGGAGGTGACGAGGATGAAAGCTTGGTCGAGGTGACCGTTATGACTTGCTATCTGCATAGAAAAACAAACACTTGAACACCATGGCATTCCCATGGGATGCCTTCATATCCATGTAACATCGTGTTTCACATCTTAGATTTTGATTATTATTTCCTTATTGTTTTCAATGCAATGCTTAATAAAGAATTTAAATCACAATTCGCATACAAAAAATAAACTAAAAAAGACATATCAAAGACTTTTTAGTGGAAGGGAAATTTTTTATTAATGTGCTTGGCCTGTGAATAGGCATTCGTACATGGAAACAACTCATAAATGAGGAAGTTGCGAAGAAAAGATAAGATACAACAAGTAAATTGGCAATACGAAAATCTCAAAATTCCATTAAAACTGATATTGTTATAGTTCTCATATCCTGGATCATCCTAGTGTTGTGCTTCTGAAAGATAATAGTTGAATTGATCCATCCAGTGTTATGAGGGTGTATTGGTTATCCGTGAAGAGTTTTCAGACTGTAGTCTTTCGCTTTTTGTCCCTAATTTTTTCCTAGATCACCCTTTCGGGTTTTCAATCCACTGAGATACCAATTTTTTCCTAAGCCGCCCTTTCGGGTTTTTGACTTAGGGGGTTATTCTCTTTTTTCTCTTTTTTCTTTTTTTAGTCCTAACTTTTGCCTAAGTCGCCCTTACAGGTTTTTAACTTAGTGGGTCTCTTTATGCGTAGTATTTTTTGACTGAGTCTGAATTGACTGGAAGTGGAACATCTTCCCCATCCATGTATGTTAGTATTAGAGAACCTCCTGAGAAAGCATTCTTCACGATGTACAACCCCTCATAGTTGGGAGTCCACTTGCCTCTTGGATCAGAGTTAATTGGGAGAATCTTCCTTAAGACCAGGTCACCTGTGTGAAACTCTCGATGGCGAATCTTCTTGTCAAATGCCCTCTTGAGACGCTGTTGATATAATTGACCATGACAAATGGCTACTAGGCGCTTCTCTTCAATGATATTGAGTTGGTTAAGCCTTTCTTGAATCCATTCAGCTTCATCAAGTTTAATATCCATCAAAACCCTTAATGAAGGAATTTCCACTTCAACTAGGAGCACCGCATCCATACCATAGACTAGTGAAAAAGGAGTTGCCCCAGTGGAAGTACTCAATGAAGTTCGATAGCCGTGCAAGGAAAAAGGCAACATCTCATGCCAATCTTTGTATGTTCTCACCATTTTCTGGAAAATCTTCTTTATGTTCTTGTTAGCTGCTTCGACTGCCCCATTCATCTTTGGTCGATAGGGTGATGAATTATGGTGCTCAATATTGAATTCTTCACACATTTTATTCATCATCTTGTTGTTGAGATTCGACCCGTTATCAGTGATGATCTTGTTAGGAGTCCCATAACAACATATGATTTCTTTCTTGATGAAGCGAGTAATGACTTGCTTGGTCACATTTTTGTACAAAGCCGCTTCCACCCATTTGGGGAAGTAATCAATAGCAACGAGAATGAACTTGTGTCCATTTGAAGTGCTCGGCTCGATGCGTCAAATCATATCAATGCCCCACATTGAAAAGGGCCATGGTGAAGTCATCACATTCAAAGGAGTGGGAGGAACATATATCCTGTCTGCGTAAACTTGACATTTGTGGCACATCTTCACATACACATAACAGTAACTTTCCATCATCATCCAGATATAACCTGCTCATAAGATTTTCTTGGCCATGGAATATCCATCGGCATGAGTCTCGAAAGTGCCCTGGTTAATTTCTCGCATGATGGATTCTGCTACGTTTCTATCCACGCATCTGAGCAGAACTGAATCATAGTTTCTTTTGTACAGAGTGTCTCCTAACAGTAAAAACTTGGATTCCAACCTTCTAAGAGTCCGCTTATCACAAATTGTAGCAACCTCAGGGTATTCTTTCTTCTCAAGATATCTTTTGATGTCAAAATACCATGGCTTTTCGCCCGACATGTCTTCAGTTGTGAGATAATGAGCATGGAAAACGTGTGCTGGCTCCTTGTAACAAAGGATTCTTATATTGGGTGCATGATTTAGATAATTGACTTTGAACATTGCTGCTAAAGTGGCCAGAGCATCTTCCAGTTTATTTACTTCTCTAGGAATGTACTCAAAGGTGATCTAATCAAAATCAGGCAACATCTCTAATATGTAATCCCGATATGGGACTAAATTAGGGTGTCGTGTATCCCAATCACCCCGTACTTGATATATTACTAAGGCAGAATCCACATAAACCTCAAGAATCTTGATCTTCAAATCAATGACTGCTTCAAGGCCCATTACACAAGCTTCGTAGTCTGCAACATTATTCGTACAATCAAAATATAGCCTGGTTGTGAAAGGTATGTGAGTATTACGTGGAGAAGTCAGAACTGCCCCAATGCCATGGCACATGGCATTGGATGCACCATCAAATGTGAGAATCCATCGGTCCCTTGGTTTGGGTCCTTCTTTATCATCAAGTTTCATAACATCCTCGTTTGGAAAATCGAACTTCATTGACTGATACTCTTCCAATGGCTGGTGGGTGAGCTGATCAGCAAGAATGCTACCTTTGATAGCCTTTTGTGTGACGTACTAGATGTCATACTCAAACAAAAGAATTTGCCACCGAGCTAATCTTCCTGTAATTGTTGGTTTCTCGAAGATGTATTTTATCAGATCCATCTTAGATATCAGAAGTGTAGAATACGTCAACATGTACTGCCTCAAACATCGAGTTTCCCATGCAAGAGAGCAACAAGTCTTCTCAAGTAACGAATACCTTAATTCACAATTGGTAAACTTCTTGCTCAGGTAATAAATGACATGTTCTTTTCGTTCAGTGTCATCATGTTGTCCGAGCACACAACCCATAGATCCTTCAAGCACAATCAAATACATAATGAGAGGTCTCTCTGGAACTGGAGGTATGAGTATTGGTGGTTCCTTAAGGTACTGCTTAATCTTTTCGAATGCCTCTTGACAACTTTCATCCCAATGGACATCTTGATTCTCGCATAACAATTTAAAGATGGGTTCACACGTACTTCCTTTTCATTTTTCGGTGCCAGCATATCTTGTATCTCTCTTACCTTGTCTGGATCTACTTCAATCCCTTGTTGACTTACAATAAAACCAAACAACTTGCCCGATCGAACCCCGATGGTGCACTTGTTGGGTTTAAGCGTTAACCTAAACTTTCCTAGACGATCAAACAACATCTGTAAATGGACCAAATGTTCTTCCTCTGTTTATGATTTTGCGATCATATCATCCACATACACCTTGATCTCTTTATGAATCATGTCATGAAAGAGAGTCACCATAGCGCGCTGATATGTTACACCAACATTTTTGAGACCGAAAGGCAATACCTTATAGAAAAAGGTACTCCAAGGAGTTGTGAAAGTTGTTTTATCCATGTCTTCAGGAGCCATCTTTATCTAATTGTAACCCGAGAACCCATCCATGAAAGAGAACACTGAAGACTGAGCAGTATTATCAACCAATACATCAATATGAGGCGACAGGAAATCATCCTTTGGGCTTTCTCTATTCAAGTCTTAGTAGTCAACTCACATACATACCTTACCATCTTTCTTAGTTATAGGCACAATGTTAGCAATCCAAGGCGGGTAATTTATCATAGATAGGAAGCTTGCATCAAGTTTTTTCTGAACTTCTTCTTTGATCTTCAAAGCCATGCCAGGTCTGGTGCTTTAAGGCTTCTTCTTTACAGGAGGAAATTTCGGCTTGAGTGGCAATCTGTGCATCACTATATCAGTATCTAAACTGAGCATGTCTTCATACGACCAGGCGAAGATGTCAACATACTCTCGAAGTAACTCAATCAACCCCTTCTTTTCTTCACTTTGCAAGGTAGAACCTATCTTGACTTCTCTCTTTACCTCTTCAGTACCGAGATTGATAACTTCTGTTTATTATTGATATGGCAAGGTGACCTTCTCTTCCTGTCTCAAGAGTCTTGCTAGTTCTTCAGGGACTTCACAATTTTCCCCATTATCTTCGTCAGCATGGTCAACTGAATTCTCAAAGATATTAGGAACCATAGCACTATCATTTTTGATTGAGTTCGAGATGGATCTGCATGATTGATGATTTTATATTTTATTTTAGAAAGTGCAACAAAATATTTAGAATATGAAAGGAAAAGCATTTCCATTTTTATTTTGAAAAGTAAAAGTAAAAGAAAAGACAGGGAATAAAATTGTATGCGAAAGTGAAATTTATCATTCAATTTTAAATGGAGATTGAAACATAAGGGGCCCCTTCTACAAGTTGTCTCTATGCCTTGGGCAGGGGATATGACTCAATGGAAATAGAAAATTACACATCAAGGAAAACAACTTTAGGGATGTCCATGGCAGTCCAATTGCTGAGCTTCTGGTCCGGCGCAACCTGATAGATAAATCTGGAAACATCTTCATTATCACCTTCATCATTTGTTCCAAGCACTTGTCCTTCTTTGCTTGTACCAATGCTGATAAACACTTCAGAAATTGGGGAAACCTTCTTTCCTTTGAGAGTAACCAAACTAGATTGCACGGAGGACGATGGATGATACCCAAGACCACAACAATCTTTCTTCTCAGGTACTTCGATCAATTTGCCCCAACCATCATGGGGAGATCTAGCTTCTATGAGGGCTTTGGCATCATTAAAAGAGGCCATAGGTGCTTCATACTTCTTACCTTCCACGACTGGGAACTCGTCAACAGAAACAATCTCAAGAGCTTTAAAGGGCAACTCCTTCACCCCACCTTCTACTTCCGTATAACGGTAGGTTGTCAGATTGTTAATCACTACGTCTTCTTCTCCACAAACAACGACAACTTTGTCATTTACTATGAACTTCAAGCATTGGTGAAGAGTAGATGTCACAACTCCTACTACATGGATCCATGGGCGACCCAAAAGGCAAGTGTAGGATGGACGAATGTCCATAACATAGAATGACAAATAGAAAGTGTGGGGACCAATCTTGACAGGAAAGTCCACTTCTACCTCCACAGATCTCCTTGAACCATCAAATTCTCTAACACTCAGGGTGGAAGGCCTCATCATTACCCCATCCATATACATCTAAAACAGAGTAGCCTTAGGCATCATATTGAGTGAAGAACCTGTATTTACAAAAACTCGAGATAAAACCGTATCCAAACACTTCATGGAAACATGCAGCTCTTTATTGTGGGCCCTGCCTTCAACCGGGAGCTCATCATCACAGAAACCCAAACAAGTTCCCACAATAATATTGGTTACAATCCCTTCAAACTGGGCCACCGAAATGTCTTGAGTAATGTGATACGGTGGAAGAACTGACTGTTTTTGGAATGTTGGTTTGCGTTTTGCGTTTGTTTTCACAAAATGTCGCGGTAAGCAAGAGTTGCCACCGAC